GGGGGGGGGGGTCTTCCTAAGATGCAGAGTGCATCTTGTCACTGCCCTTCAACTTCACCTTCAAGATAAGTCCAAACTGCCTGCCTTCTCCCTTCCGATCTACCCCCTTCCTCCCAGAACACAACTCTGCTGTGGCATGCTGTGCCTTTTGGAATGCCCTTAACCAATTCTTCATCTGGACAACGTAGCTTTTAAATACCCAGTTGACACTGTCACTCCCTCTCTAAGTACACTCTTGTCTGCCCCAGAGTTAGCTTCTCAGCTCTGACCATTCCTGTTCTCTGGCCACGCCTCATCCATAGTGGCACTTGTGTCAATTGCAGTGGTTGTTTTTTGATATCTCTCCCTCCAGACTGAGGGCTCCTGAGAGGCAGGGTTGTGTCTTTCTGGCTGTTTCTCTCACACCTAATTTGTGTCTAAAAAAAACTTTATGTGTGTGCGAAAAAATATATATATGTATATATATATATATGATCATATGTATTTTTAATACTAAAAGTTGAACAAACAAAAGGGGTTTATGAAAGTCAGGTAGGCTACAGAGCAGGGAGTTTCAGAGACAGGGACAGAGATCCCCACTCCCCAGCCCCCATCTTGCTAATTATGCTCCCACCTCCATAATTCTGGAGGCACTATGCTGGTTCCTGCCTCTGTGCCTTTGCACACATGGTTCCCTCTACTTGCAATGCCTTCCTGTCTCCTTCATGTTGACAAATTTAATTAGGTTCAGACCTCACCTTTTCCAGGGAGCCCTCCTCACCCTCACCCAGGTAGACTGGGTTGGGCCCCCTTTTGTGTTGCCATAGCACCCTGTGCATATGTCTACTGGAGCACCACACCCACGGCACTTATCTGTTACCTCTTCACCAATCTTTCTTAAAGGCATAGAAGAGGAACAACTGAGGGTGTGCCACACCACCCACGACGGGGGCCCATCTCACAGCGCTGCAGCATTCTCTAGAGGCTGAGGGGTGGGAGAATGGTGATACACAGAATAGGCACCCAGCCAGCCTCCTCTCTGCTCTTACCTCATGCGTCTGCGGATTCTCTACGATGCAGCCGTAGTTGAGGGATTGTGTTCTGTTAGCCTGAAAGACAGGCGCACCGAGACAGTGACCTGCCTGCTCGAGGGCAGCAAGGTCTGTTTTCTCTTTCTTGCTTTCCCTCCCCTAGAGCACCTGGCACGTAGCTCCACCACTGACAAGCCTTCAGCTGAGGTGAGAACTGACAGCTACCCTCCCCACCTTCTTCTGAGCAGCTCAAGGGCTCAAGGTCTCTCTCCACCACCACCTCCATTACTGCTGGGGTTTCAATCACCTATCCCTCCTGAAGCACATTCCCACTCCAACTCCCTGGGCTGGCCCTGCCTCCCCAACACTCTGCATTCCAGGAATCTCTCTAGATCACCCCGATACCCTCCAGCCCTCCAGGGTCTCTCACCGTGGTGCCCAGGAGCAAGAAAGGGTGAGGCTGATGTCTGTGGGCAGCCAACATAGCTTGCAAGGGGAAGTCGGAGCAAACATCAGCATTGAGCACGAAGAAGGCTTCAGGGCCCCCAGCCAGGATCTGATCCCGGAAATGGTAGAGACCGCCTCCTGTGCCCAGAGGGGCAAATTCCTGCAGGTACCTGTCCCCAGGGACCCCAGAGCCAGCTCAGTGAGATCAAAGGAGACAGATACCATAAGCCTGGGCACCGACCCTCCTGTTCCCAGGATATGCCTGCCCAAGGCCAACAGAAAAACTCTTTATATACAGCGATTCAGGAGGGCCCAAATAAGAAACCTCCTAGTGTGTGAGGGTGACTTCAGCAAATGCTGACTCAACCCACCCCTGAGAACTCAGATGCCTAGGCCATTGCTCCCCCACCCCTATGTAGCACATATGCACAAACACCTGACCTGACTGGAAGGTTAAACTCTTGCTGGGCAGCTTCCAGGAACCGGGTAAGTGGTTCATCAGGTTGGTAGAAGCCAATGAGCAGAATCTCCTGCATCCCAGGAACCTGAGGACAAAGGAAGAGATTGAGAGAAAAACATCTGAGGGAATGATGGGAGGGAGGGAGAAATCCCTGGTACTGGCCCCAAATCCAGAAACCACACTTTCCGTCTTAGCTGTGGCCCTGGGCACCCATTTTACCCTGCTGGTCTGATTTCTTCTCTGGATAATGAAGAAGTTAGAGTCTCAGTCCCTGATCTTTTAATCTTTTATTATTCTATTATCCCCCCAACCCCCACATCTGAAGTGAGGCTAACCCTAGGAAAGATTTTTGCCTATCAAGCTCCATTATAGAATAATCCATTCATTTCTCCCATATTTATTATCTGTCAGTCTGAGCTTGAGATCAGCATGAGGTAAGGATACCATTTATCAAGTGTCTACATTGTGCTAGTTACTTTGCAAACATCATCTCTAAGTTTCACAACCCCATGAAGTAGTCTAATCACCCCCACTTTACAAATAAGGCTGAGAAAGGGTGAGAAATTTGCTCAATTCTTTTTAGCAGGCAGAGACTAGACTCAAATCAAAACCTTGCAGGTCTCAATACCAAAAGCAATAAAGAAATTAGCTCCATACTGAGCAAGGGTAGTATGATTCCTTGCTTTGTTATCATTAAGGTTTCCCATGCTACGGCTTTAAGTTGTTTCTAAGATTCCTACCTAATCTCACATTCCAGGCTCAGTGGTGGAGCATCTACCCATGAACCAAGAGGTCACCAGCTCAATTTCTCTTCAGGGCACATGCCCAAGGTTGCGGGCTTGATCCCCGGTAGGGGGCGTGCAGGAGGTAGTCAATCAATGTTTCTCTCCCATCGATGTTTCTATCTCTCTATCCCTCCCCCTTCTTCCCTCTCTAAAAATCAATAAAAACATATTTAAAAAAGAAGAGGCCAGACAAAAGACTAGATTAGGAAAAGACAGCAGGACAACTGCATTGCACAACGAGGGTGGGAGGGGGGAATTCACATTGTCATTTGTAAATGGTGGTTCCTGGAGTTATGCTTGGTGGGAAGAGCTCATGGTTGGAAAAGGGAGAAATATGACGTGAAGAAGATGATCGGATAGTGAGGTGGGAGAGGGGAGCCAATGGGGTTACCTGGGCACAGGCCTCAATGTGGTGCTGGATCATAGGGACCCCTGCCACTGGAAACAGGGGTTTGGGCACCTCAAAAGACAAAGGCCTGAAGCGAGTCCCTGAGAGAGGAGAGAGAAGCACATTTCAATTTTCCGCTTCCCTCTGCCCCCATCCCACCAACCACTCCAGCCCAAACTCCTCCCCCATTCCTCTGGCTCCTCACCCTTTTGAGGGCCTCCAATCAGGATCACAGCTTTAAGCATGATGGCAACTGTTACCTAAACCCCAAATCCCGACAGAGAAGTTAGGCTCAGATTTCACACCCCAACCCAGGAAGCCCACTCATACCCCAACCAAATCCTAAACCCAAAATAGCAACACTGAGCCCTCTCTCTCCCAGGATATAAATCCAAAATTCAATACAGTCCCTCCCTGGGCACAACACCTCACAAATCTCACACATCTCAAATCCCAACCCAATTCCAGTCAGCCTTCAAACCCGACAGTGATTCCTCCCAAATTCTGAATCCACACCTGGCAAGTGGATCCCTAAGAGACTTCCTTCCGGACGAAATCTCAGCAAACTCAGAAACCCAGCAATAGACGTCCTTCTCACATCCCAAACCTTAAAAAACCAAAACCCCAAACCACTGATTCCCAAATTGGTCCACCCTCCCTGGAGAAGTTAAGCCCCGAATCCCAACAGTGAATCTCAAATCCTGAGCGAGCCCCCAATATTTAACTCCAGTCCTAAGAGTGAACTTCAAGTATTAAACCAACACTGATCTGCATTTGACAACTCCAAACCCTAGCAAAACCCTCTTTATGCTGAACCTAAATCCTAAAATTAACCTGAACCCTGAATCAAGAGACAGGCTCCCTTGGCATCCCAAACACACTCTGCCAACCCCCTGTGCCCAGGACTGACAAGTGCTAAATCTTAGGATTCAGAGGGCTGACTGCTGATCCTCTGAACCTCACAAATGACTGATAAAACCTAACCTCGCGTATCCAGGGCTTGGGGGACCAGAACAGCACCCGACGTGCGGAGAGCCAGCCGGGACCTCCGAGCCGCCCTCCGTCTAGGGGCCGTGCCGGGTCCTCCACCCCTTCCGCCACCCCTCCATCTGATCTTTTTACCGCTGGTCCCCTTTATTCCAGCTCTGTCACCGGCTACTGCGGGCTCCTTCCGCGCACGTGTCTTCTCGCAACTCGCGAGAATTTCGCAGAGTCTGCCGGGAATTGTAGTTCTCAAGTTCCTTCCCCCCCACCCCCGCCTTCTGAGAACGAGGTGGAACTTGG